CTGCACGTTTTTCAAAAGACTCTCCTTCCCCAAGCCAGCAATAAAAAAAAATAATTCTCCATTATCTGTGCTGGGGAGGCAGCACTTTAACACGACGTCCACACGTGCTCCACACAGAGAGCACTGGATCTGCGGTACCGCAGCCTGCTCCACCAGTGTTTCAGTGTGACTTCATGCCACGCAATGAGAACAGCGATATTCAGGGGAAGTTTTTCTGCAGGACACGTTGCTTGCACACCACGGCCTAAAGCACACTGCACAACTTACATCGCTGAACTCCAGGGGCAAGCTCTCCGTGGGCTGGAGCTCAGCAGCACTCAAGTACAGGTCCGTGGGGGCAGCTTCCAGCTCCTCGGGGACAGCCAGCACCTGCTCGGGCACGTACATCTGCGGAGGCAACCGGAGATGGAGCGGGCAGCACGGATCCTCGGAGAGGCTCACGGGAACTGGCTTGTTGCAGGGCACTTCCTCAGAGCCTTGACACGGTTTAAACAGAGTCTGGTTAGCGTCCTGACAGATGTCTGGGAAAACGTGGTCAAGGAGAACCTGTACAGCAGACAAGCTACGGACAGATACGCATCCAGAGGCGTAAACGCTCCCCACTCACTCACCACCCTCCAGCAAGTGCTGTTAAAAACCCCATACATTTCTGCACGGTCAGGAGTCCAGGCTTCAGAGTTGCACCCCGACTGCCCATCGACACGGGTGACGTTACTTGCACGATGGAAAATGGGGACAACAGCGACAGCGTCCCAAGGGGGGCTGGGAGCCATAGCTGGATCCCGGTAAAGCACTCGCAGATCCTCAGATGGAAGATATTACAAATGCACAGGCTTACTTTTATTTGCAGACATCCATTTAGAAGGCATCTGCACAAGCCTTAACATCTAACACACAGCAGAGATATGAGCACACACAATGCTTTTTCCACAGCCAGGAGTTTAGTTCCGGTATTTCTATCTTCCCAGTGCATTTTCCTTCCCAATGGAAAACCTATTCCTGCCAGAGGTGTAAATGGGATTTCCTGCCTTTAATCACAAACAGAAACTCTGCTCCAATTGCATCGCACTTGCTAGAAATCCGCCAGCAGAGAGTAGCTACAGACCAAATCCCATCCTCTTTCAAGAGCCCTGCAGAACTACAGACAGACCCACTGCTGAGGCTGCACGAGGGTCTGCATATACTGACAGTCCTGAAGTTTCTACTTACTGCTGCCAGGAACAGCTGAGATTGTCACCTGCATGGAGGTTGTGACACAATCTGGAGCTGGGGCCAAAGCAGATTTCAGGTGTGGATCAAGTCTTTCAGGTGAGATACCTCAATGTCAGACCCACCAAATAACTGCCCAGCTGTTCTTGATGTTTGTGGGGTTCACGCCACAGTTTCCTCTTCACGCAGCACAGTGTGGGAGAGGAATAACATCCCCAAACTTCCAAACCCACGTAAACTGCAAAAGGCACAGAGTTTAGCCCAGCTTCTTAAGCCATCTAGGTTTCAGATTTATCCTTTCCTCCTCTGCTCTCTGCACCAAGGCAGCTGTGAACATGCTGATACGACTTCCCGGCAGGTTGCAGGGAACCTATAACCTGTCCTAGCAGCAACGGTACGGATCCCAGCCCAGAGGAGCCAGATCTCCCAGACACTCAAGGGCAGATGTGGCAGGGAAAGCGTCTCTGTATGAACAGCAGGGTGGGGAAGCCAGATTTTTATCTCTCTGAATGACTCCCAGATCAAGCACTGACTTTATTGGTAGCCAAAAAGCATGGATTGCCAAGATGACAAAATCACACGCTCCACCTGGAGCCCAACAGCCCAGCTGGGTTCAGTCCCTTTAATGCATTGTCACAAACAATCCCGCTCCTGAAAAGCAAACAAAGCCCAAAAGCCTCCCGACAATGCACAAAGCAGAGCAGACTGCAGATGTTATCAGCTCAGCAGGGCTAACCAAAGTAAAACCTTGTTTTGTGTCAGTGAAAGTCAGCTGACAGCTCAGACGTAAGGAAATCAAACCTTGCTTTTTCCACTCCCTTCTCGGCCTGCCCTGCTCAAAGCGAGCCAGCTGCAAACAGCAACTTGCTCAAACTGTTTTATAGGTATTTATCCTGTCTTTATTTTGAAGTATACGGTCACTAGAGAGAAACAAAGGCAGCTTCCTGCCCCCCGGGCTGCTCCCTACGCGAGTCTGCCAACTTCAGTAACAAAACAAAACCAAGAGCTCAAACAAGACGAAGAACTCATCCTCCTCCTGGCTGCCAGCTCTGCTCTGGGACCCAGCGCTGGAGCTTCTCCTGACTCACACCAGCAACAGCTGCAACTCCTGACGCGATCCAAACCCACTCCTGGACACATCCACCCAATCCCACTTAGACAAGAGCTGCGCAGATGCATCCAGGGCAGCGCTCGGTTGGCGGATCCCATGTTGGGGTGGTGATCCCTGAGCTGGGGGGGATGCCAGTGGAAATTTCAGTGCTGGCCCTCAGAAAGCTGAAGCTGTTTCAGATCGAACAGCTCGAGGCTGTTCCATGGCAGCCCCAAACAGGCTAGGAACTACTCCCTCCTTCAGATCCTCCCAAAAAAGTCACTGAGCACATGCTTCAGCAGCCAGACACCCTGTCCTACAAACATCCCTCACAGCATGACTCACACAGAGAGCTCACAGACCCTGCTCAGGATTGCTGTTGGCACCCAGCACCTGTAGCCAAGCCAAGATCAGACTTGCTTCTATCCCCCTTTCACACAGCCAGAAACTCTCTCGTGCCTCCCTCAGGCTTCAGGACATTCCCTTGCCGCTTCCAAGGGAACTAGCCACCCCGTTCGGATGCTCAGCGTACCACAGGAAGGCTGCAGCAGGACCTGCCTGGGCAGAGGCGAGGACAAGCCCAGCTTTTTGTCACTCCCACACGAATTGGTCATTCCACGGTGATGGGAGCGCCAACAGACTGGGAGACGTTTCCTCTGGGCTCCTGCTTGAAACCAACGGCTACAGCAAACCGATGGCCTTGATTTAGGGCCAAAGAGAAAAAAGGGGAACCAAACACACTTCAAACTGCTAGCCAACGGTCAGCAGCACAGCCCATGGCAGCACAGGCAGATCAAAGGATACGCGTAAGGCAGTGCCTGGTCATCGGGAGGGACTGGTTGGAACATCGGACATCGTCGACAAAGGCCAAGCACCTCTGGCTGGAGCGGGTGGTGTGCGCCTGCAAGTCCAAGAGAAGAGCTCAGAGCTGCGCTGGAGTCATCCGGCTCTGTTCCAGAGAAACCCCCTCGGCTATACAACACTTGCGTCCTGCTTTCAAAACACGCCAAGACCAAACTCTCAGTTCCACTCCAGCAGAGCCTCACGCCTCATTATGTCCTCCCCATTCAAGCTTTTATTAAACAGAGCTGAGATAATAAGGCACGACTTGATTTCAGTAGGAAGAACTTCACCTCAGAAGTATGTCTCAAAGAAGGAGGTTTCTCAGACTTATCTTTCAACTTTCAGAAGTCAGTTAATGGAATGCTTTGAATCTTAAAAACAGTTATAAAGAAATGACTGCTCACAGCTCCACATTTAGTATCACGTGTGATGCGAGGGGCCTGCCTTTTGGTCCCCACAGGTCTAGCAGGAGTCTGAGTTTCACCACCATAAGGAGTATTTTCTACACATTTTTCAGTGATGAAATTCAGGCTACCTCGTACTCAGCCCTCCGTTTCAAACGGGAAAATTCTCCAACCCCACACTTGAACTTCTGCAGTTTTGGTGCCCATTTAAAATGACTCTAGCAACCTCCAATGTTTCAGACAACGTGCAGATACTGAGGGCACCAGCCAGGACCGGCCTTTACGTCCTTGCAGAAAGGGTGTTACAAGGAGCAATCCGGCAGGGCCAGAGCAGACCTGGCCTGGGGTTGCTCCCAGGAAGGGAGAAGAGGAGAGACCCAACTTCCAAGCGAGGCTGTAACTCCAGCCATACCCAGACCCCGCGCTGCTGGACGCACCTGCTGGGCAGCGCCATCGGTCGCCAGCATCCTGCGCTCCTTCAGCTGCCGGTGGAGCAGGGCCTCTACACCATAGCGCTGCCGGTAGCGGCGCAGGCACTTCAGGCGCTTCAGGTTTTCACGCTCCTTGGCCATCAGCCCCTCCGGGCCTGTCAGAAGGCTGCTGCCTGCGGGGACCGAGGGAGGGGTCAGAAAATACCACCTCACCTGCCACATCCTTCCATTTTTTTTGGTATCGAGAGCCAAAATCAGCTGTTGAGAGCTCCAACAGCTGACTAATGACACAGATATCAAAGCACAGAGCAAACGAGCAGCGAGAGCTGCATGTATAAACAGGAAGCACATCTTTCAGTTACACAAGAAGATGACAAAGCAGATTCCATCCCAAAATTTATCCCAACTTCTCTGTGCACAAGGAATACTTGGGCCATCAGAACATTTTTAAAACGTCTTTTAAAATAATCTGGCCATTCAGAAGTCTATTGTGATTTCTGCATGCAGAATAGAAGTCAAATTTCAGCTTGCTCCTGTGCAAGTTCTGGAAGCTTCCCGTAAGCACCCCCAGCCGTAATTACAGGGCAATGCTCGGGATCTGCTTTCCTATTACTGGTTTGCTAAAAAGAGTTCTACAAAATTGTTATGTACCAAACTTCCAGTTATTTTTACTTGGGGACGAGCTCTATTATGCCATTTTCCAGGATGAGCTATTACAAGACTATGCTAGAGAAAGCATTCTTTGCACTGCAGTACTTGCAACCAGTTATACAACCCAGTTCTGCCTCGGTTGAACTACGAACTCCTGCCTCCAAGAGCATGTTCGGTACAGGGACAATCCCAACCGAGGCACAAGTGCTTTTGCACGGGAAAGTTGCATCTGAGCTAAGGAAGAATCTGTCATTACAGCAGTACTGGTGTAACTACTGAAACAAACTTCTGCCAATACAGACAGGACCTTACATATGAATAAATTTTTTGTTTATAAAACCAAAACCAGGAAATCCCATACAAAAAAAGAACTTCTGTCTCAGAATTAACTTTGTAGTCTCATTTCCTGACGACACTGCAAACTTTGAAGAGCAAAGAAATCCGGCAACCTTCCTAACCCAAACGATACCAATCTCTGGGCATGAGGCCAAACACAGAAATACCTTCTCTAACCATTTCACTCCTACAGTAATTTTCACCCTTACTGAGACAGCATTGCTCTGAAATCTGCTACTACAAAGGGCAAAAAACACCTTTTTTGTTTCTAAATGTAGAGTTCTGCATGTTTTAGAGAAGTGCTGTGCCCTCAACTAGGGGAATATGGAGCAGTCACTACCTGTACCAGTACTTGCCTATGGCTTCATGCTCTCCCTTGCGGCTGTGCAGGTATCGGCGCTTCTTCTCCTTCAGAAGGTGCTGGAGTCTTTTGAACTGGTCAATGTAGAGAGACTGCAGGCGGATCAGCTTCTCTCGCATGATCAAAGCCACCTCCTCAGCTGTGTATACACCAGCATGCCTGAAAAACACCCACACAAACAGGGTGAAGTGTGTAAGGCTCCCTCAGGGCTGTTCTCCTGACCAAATGACACAGACGTTATCAGAAACACAGGCTGAGCAGGGCTGGATTATACAGATCAAGGGGTGATGAGCAGAAATACTAAATCTATGCGTTCTTTTAAGTTAAGAGATCATCCCAAGATTGCTGCTGAATGGACCACTCCACACTGAAAGAGGATGACCATCAAAACTTCCCAGAAGAATATCAGGTCCAAGACTTGTGAGCATTCATGCCTAAAAGCTCACCAAGGCACAAAGTCCAACTGCAACACCATTAACATCGTCACCTCTTTAACGTAACTGCTGTCTCCTCCGGTACCACACTGAGCTCAGAACACCCTGCACGCTCCACGTGTGCAAGCAGCTGGCAGCCACCAGCATCCAACTTACTTCAAGGGATCCTCCTGGTCGCTATCGATGCTGTCAGCCTCGCTGTCCGGGTCCCCTCGCCACGTCTGGTCCACTGTGATAGGGTCCTGCTCACCATCGCTCCAGCTGTCCTCATCTGAAAAGACAAATCACCCTGAGCAACAGGACACAGTCTGATGTCCTAGTGCTGGCTGCTCTGGCACAGGACAGCCAGAGTCCAGGAGCTCAGCTCCACAGCTGCACAGAGGTGAACTGGCTCTGCCTCTTGTCAAGAGAGACTTCTCCTCCCCAGCACAGTGTGGACAAGGGACACGGAACAATAGGGAACCCACCAACTCGTCACATCCAAAACACACAGCTCCTGTGGAGTGACGCTCCTGCCTACCTAGGAACCATGAACTGCCAGCTGACCCCACCAAGCAACCCTACAAGACGGGAAGCTCAGCACTGAGCCAGCGTTTGACAGGCACTGCTAGAGACTAACCCAGCAAAGAGAGAAGCTAGCTAACGCTTGTACTCTGTCAATGCAAGGGAAGAAAACCTGCAGGATTTTGGTCTGGCAGTGGGACTTGTCTACAGTCAGTGGCAGGCGAGACGCCACAGTTTGCAGAACACAATATTTTACCCACAGAGACCCGAGATCTTTTTTACACTGGATTCAAGAACTGACATTTTTGGCATTTCCACACAAAATGAAGAACTCCAGGTCCTCTCTCACCCGTTTTTGCTTTCAGTTCATACCTAGGATCCGACTGGCTTCGCTGCGGCTGCTCTCTGCAGTCTGGGAGCCCAGCTCTGTTTTGGCATAAGAGCTAAGCTGGCAAAGGAGAGTCTCGCTTATAGGCCCAGGGTTGGACTTCTTCATCTGAGCTTGGAGCGCCAGAGTGTTCCTCCGGGCATGCTCCGCACAGAATGACGCACTGTGGGAATAAATCACAAGCTTGTTACAACTCTAAGCCAGCAAAACGAACAAGTGATACAGTGAGAAACGTTCCCTGACACCTGGAAAGCACATCCCCTCCACAGCTTTCTCATAGAGGGAGCCGCTGGCTGCAGGTACAACTTGGAAATGCCAGCCAGCCCCAGGTGGCTCGCAGACCACACACCACCACTGAAATGCCACCTCTGGCACTGGAGCCAGCAGCCACAACAGCAGGGAAAGAAAAGAGCTTTTTGCTTAAATGTACTGAGGTGAGCTCTTCTGCTTCCAAACATTCACACTGGACACCCAGTTTCCATGCAGAGCATGCTGGCCTACATCAGATGGATGCTTTTTATCGCAGAGGGACCAAGGGCAGAGTGAAGACTATCAGTGACCACACCCCTGTAACCTCCGGGAATGAAATGCGGGTCGATGCTCCCATAAGGGAAACTGTGCTCTGCTGACGTGCTTACTGAATATCAATAACTGTTCTAGGCCCTTCCATCCACAGCAGTTGAGAACATTTTATATGCATCAGAGAACAAGAAGCACAACCAGGTCATCAACTCCACATAACACACGACCAGAGTATCTGTGCTGAGGATTTTCCATAAGCACAGACAGCAGCAAGTTAAATTTGCTGGGCTGAGCGGAGGTACAGCACCACATGGGTGCATGTACAACTCTTACAACAGACCTGGATCACTGCAGCCACCTTCTGATGGCAGAGGGCAGCAGCCCAACAGTCCTGCAGGACCAAAATGACTCCACACAGTGTCCAGCACACACAGAGCCTTTCTCTAGCTTAAAAACGTTTCAGAAAGAGGGAGCCACTTGTCTGAAGCAATGTAAGTGCAGCAGCTGAATCTCAATCAGGAGGACGACCTTCTCATGTTTTAATTCTATATGGTACAGAACTGGAGAACTGGGAGACAGAGGTACTCACCCATCCTTCTTCTCTGGTTTGGGCGCAGCATTGGGACACCGCTTTCCATTCTTTGTTGAGACGTAGCTGCACTGCTTGAAAGGGGCACTCCTGTCTTCAAGAATGTGCTTAATACAAAACTCCTGCCCCTCCAGCCGTGGCTGGGAGCATTGGCGGTGGGTGAAGGCACATGACAGAGGCTCCTGCGGCCGTGGCACAGGAGTAAGGCGTCCTCGGCTTGACGGCAAAACATGGATCCGAATTCTGTTCATGCCAACACCTGCTTGAGAGATTCAGAGCAGTTAAAAGAAATGAAACAAACTACTGACAAAAGGAAAGAGCAGCAGCACCTGCTAACACCTGCATAAAACTCCTTGACCCCCTTGAAGAGGTGGGAGATTGCTCCTACAGAGAATTTCTTCTGAGGAAACTTTTAGCTTTGCAGCAATCCCATTTCTGCAGAGAATGAAATACAGCTCACTCACCTGAGCTATCAGGCAGCAACATCCAGGCCAAGGTGCAGGCACAATGAGCACTGCTGCCTGCCCGTATTGTGGCCAAGGGGTGATACACGTCCCAGAGGTACCCTTCAACCTCCATCACCCCACTGCGGGACCCTTTCCTCCCAGCACACGAGCCCCACAGCTCCATACCCTCCCAGGGCACAATGGTCTCTCCCATACACAGCCCACCTACCCCAAAACGCACAGTACAAACCCCATCCCTTCATGGCATCGCCCGTCCCCCGACTCACGGCCTCGTCCTCAGTGGGCACGATCCCCCCGCCCTGCCCGCCTCCCGCGCTTCACCCCAGCCCTGCGCCCTTGCTCCCCCTGCGCAGCTCACCAACTCCGCAGTGC